AGTAAGAAGTGACCGGGCGAGGCTGACAGACCGCTCCGAGCAGCGCGCCGTGCGCCCGGGAGGCCGGGACTCAGGGGAACAGATGACGCATCTGGCCTCCTGCTTTGTTCCGAAGAGAATTCCGGGTGATTACCTCTGAGCGGGCTGCGTGCTCCCTGCGAGCGCGAAGCCGCGGCCTCCTCTGTCTGAGTCACAGACACTGAGTCAGCACCGGGTACGACGTCTGGCACCCGGTGTGCCTTTCAGGGGCACGTGTCGAGTAAGTGCAAAGACGGACCGCGACAGGCTGCGACACACGTTTCGCTGAAATGAAGGAGTCCTAAGTCAAGGCCACTCGGCAGGGCTTTATGATGCCTGCCCCGGGACACCCCGCAGCCACGGCACGCGAGGGGTGTGATCAGACCGCGGCCCGTCTGCCGCGACAATGTCACACCGGTCAGAACGCACCCCGAGTTGTTCTCAAGTACCCCCTTTCCGCTCATCTGGCATGCAGGAGTCACGGCTCTAGCTCCGTGCGGCCTGATTCTGGAGAACTCGCCGTGGGTCATGCGAATCACGCCACTCTCCAAATTCCCGCGTATCACCTACTCCGGAATCTGCTCCAGGATTTTGTCCGTCACCATTTTACCAGTCAGTGCTTCCTGGAAACTGCCTTTTAAAAAGACATGCTTGGAAGAGGGCATTTCCTGGCGCTTCCCCAGACTTACAGAGTTCCTCCACAGTCACCGATCGGTCCCCTCGACAGATGCTCTTAGCACCTGAGGTGATGTGTCTGCTGCACCGGCGGGGGGGGGGGGCGGCGGGAATGAACTGATTGATGAAGTATCTGCTGTGAAGCAGGAAACTCGCAGGTAGAAGAGACGGAGATGGAGAAGGAAAGGCCAGAGAGAGAAATGGGACCCGGTTCCTGTGCTGAGGATGGGCTGCTAGACCCAGGAACATAAATTAGATACATTGCACATGCTGAAATAAACTAGAGTCCGAGAAGTTCAGGTGCAGATGCTCAGTGAGGGCGGGGGGAGGGACTGGCCACTTCTCCCGGGAGGGCAGAGAGAGCTGCAGGACCCTGGGTGAAGAGGTGCTTGGGGACCGGGGCCCTGTGGGGGCTCAAGCTGGGAGGGGCCTGGCCAGGCCTCCTGTTTTGGGGGTCTTTAACTTTCTGGAGAGTTACACACGGAGATGAGGGTGGGGGTGGGGCCGGCGCCTGGGGCTCTCCCAGCCTCACCACTTCCAGAGGGAGTTGCCCTCTGCACCTCTGAGGACACGCTCTCCCTTGAAGGTCCCTTTTCCAAGGAAAGAAATTTCGTCTGCTGTCCTCTGAGCGGATTTACCTGGTGAGGTTTGGGATTAGCGTTTTAATGGAAATAGTTTTTGTTTCTGAAAGGGCTCGCTTGGAGTGGTTAAACCGTCCCCTTCTCCTCCACCCTGCACAGCGCCAACCCGGGCTTCATCTGCGTGGCAGGCCTTCCCCTCGGGCTGTAACGAAGGTCAGGTCTCGGCGAGCACTGATGCAGCCCCTACCCCAGTGACCACCAGCTCCAAGGGAGCAGAAGAGGAAAAGGTGAGCCTGCAGAGTGAAAACCCATTCGGACGGTGGTTGTTTCCAGAAGCAGCGCAACGACCCAACTCCGTGTGCGCGCACCCGCAGACGCACGACGGTCTCAGGACCGAGAGTGACCGACGACGGAGGCCGCGCCCCAGACCCTCTGGGGGCTGCACAGCCTTGCCCTCACCAGAGGCTGGGCGGGGGGGAGAACGCGCACAGGTTACATCAGAGCGAGAAGGATGGACACTACGGAATCTGCAGGAAGGTGAGGCCTCCTGACTCTCCAAGGAGCCTCTCCCCCTCCATCAACCTCCTGTGTGCTACAGACACAGACGGAGAGGGCGGCTTTCAGGACACAGACTTCTGAAGTGATGAAAGTTTCCGACTTTTTGCTGAGGATTCAGACTGCACGTTCGCACTGCCCCGCGAGAAGCCCGGCGGCGGGTGGTCCTGAAGGTGTGGGTACGGCAGTGCAGCCGGAGCAGTTTGTGGGCCACCGACTGACGGGGAGGCCCCTCCCTGGGGACCAAACCTCCCCCTCCCCCCAAAGAAAACCCTCCGAGCTTGGCTGATTCGGACGAGGAGGAGCAATGAAAACAGGAAGCACTCTTCTCTTCCAGATGTGCTGGCTCGACCTCCGCTCACTCAATCCCCTGCTCTCCTTTCGTTCCCCCGGGTGTCACTGAGGCCCCCGGGACAGCGAGGATCCCCGCTCCGGGGGGGTCACAGGGACACTGCCCTCCTCGTCACTGGGAAACCAGAGACTGGGCCGGATACAGAGCATGGATTCTGGGGAGGGGCTGTCAGCCGCCAGTGCCCCGAGGTTTCCTGAGTGTCCACCCCTTTGGCAGCGAGACGACACGAAGGCCGCACTCGTTTACCCACAGTCTGTCCCGTTCTCCGAAGTCCGGGGGTGTGAAGGGGAGCGCAGTCGGACAGTGGAGACCCTGAGGGGCCACACAGACGGGGCTCCCACCCCACACTTACAAGGCGAGTAGCACTGGGCTAGCACTGCACCCTCCTGAAGCCTCAGCTTTCTGTCTGTAGGACGGGGATGATGTCAGGTGAGAATAACGTGAGAATTAACTGGAACAATACAAGCAGAGGCCTTAGCATAGATGATGGTACCCAACAGACTTTCGAGAGACGGTGGCTGCCATCAGTTCTGCTACTAGTCTCAGCAGCCTGGGGCTCAAACACCAGCCAGCAACCACACGAGACAGAGAGTCTTCCCAATACCGCGTTCTGGGCTGGGTGTCTGCAGCATGGCTCCGATACCCATGCAGAAGCAAAGGAGAGCTTCCTGACGAGACCAAATGCAGTGAACCTGCGACCTGGACCCTCCCGGGAGCAGGTGCAGCCTGGCAAGAGGCGTTGTTGCAGCAGAACCGAGGCGCCGCCGTGCTTGTGCTGCTCCAGATTCCCACCGGCCCCCACGGCACTTCTCCAGAATCAGAGCTGCGCCGCGACCCAGTGCGGCGCGCTCCCCGAGCTCCCGGCTCGGCGCTGGCTGTGGGCCAGAACCCAGACCTCGGCCCCAGAGACGGTCCAGAGGAGACAGCCGCCGCCGGCTGTCTGGTTTTCCCACCCGCGACGCAGGCCTGCCTTGAACCCAAGGGGCCCCCGCGTGTCCTTACGACTTTGTAAAGGGTGTCGTGACTCTCAGCTCTGGAGAAAGTAGAGGCAGACTGGACCTGCAGAAGCAGCAGTGAGACATCTCGTCCTCAGTGCCCCCCCCCCCAATGTGGTTAAAGACACGGTGCAGATCAGGGGGGAGTTCTCTAAAGAAATCTTCTGGAGGGACCCACAATCCCCTTAATTCTTTGGTTTCCTAGTCCAAAGAAGAGCTTCCGTTGTTAATGATGTGAATCAATAGGAGGCTGTGCACTTCTGATGTGCTAATGGCGAGGATTAGGTGCGATGCAGAGAAAAAGCGAGAGGATCGATTCTGTTCTTTACCTCCTGACGGTGGGGGTCAGACTCCACGGGGAGGGGAGCCCCCTCCCGAGGGCCGAGAGCCAAACGTGAGGGTGGAAAAGTAAAGCCTTTCTCAGGGACAAGCAAGCCGTGTGCAGATTTTCAAAGGGGGGAAACCCAAGAGGCATTTTGATGCTCTTCTTACTCTTTATAAAAACCGAGATAAACAGAAACATTACTTTAAATGGGACATAATGCTCCGAGCGGCCCGTACCCGTTATCTTCCCTCAAATCATTAATTAAACCCCTTTTTACTCAGGGGATCATGTACTCTGCAGGGGCAGGCAGGCAGGCTCCTGCTCGCTGACACTGTCCAGCGTGGGGGTGTTTATGCGTACAGAAAGCATTGTACCTTGTTGTTGTTTATCAGCATCTTTGCTACAAAAGCCAACCAATTTGCTCTAAGTTGAAAAGGAAACTCTCCTCTTTAAACAAGTCGTGGAAATCCCGTGAACACTTCTGACTGTCCCCACCACACACACCTCTGCTTTGCTCGCACACACGCACTCGCCGCACAAAGCCACACACTCTTGTCCGGTTTTCCTCCTCCTCCTTTACCTGCTCCCCGCGGCGACTCTGTGGGGCACCCCATCGGGGTGCTTCTACCGCAAACCCAAGCACCCTGGGCGGTTCAGTCCTGGGGTCACCCTACTCCCACAAGAACACCCAACCTGGTCCAGTCGTGCATGGGGACCCCACCAAGAATCGGGGATCCCCGCACCAGAAGCACTGCTAAAACCTGGGGGCAGCACCCTGCTCAGCACCTGGACTCGTCCCCTCCCTCACCCTCCCCCCAGCCCTCGTGCCCAGGGGCGCAGGCACCCCTCCTGGAATTCAGCATCTCAAAGTAGCGAGCCTCCCGCAGGCAGTACTTGCCTCCAGCCGTCCGCCCGGCTCAGGTGTGCGTGCCGCTGGTTTCCCTGAAGCAGGTGGATTTCCCACTGGCCCGTCAGACTCCAGAGCCCCCAGGACCGTCCTTTGTCGGCAGCTGGGGTTCCTGCCGGCTGCTTCCAGCCCAGGAGCGGGGACCAGGGACCGGAGCCTAGACTACAGAACTGCAGGTGCAGGGAGGGCGGAAACCGCGGAGTGGAGTTCGGGGCTGGCGGCACGGACTGAACTGTGTGGAGTGACAGCAGCACATTCGAGGAGAGGTCTAAGATATGGACTGGAGTTTTTTTCCCTTGTCTGTTTGCTTTTAAACTAATTTTACTTGCAGCCTCCCACACGTGGGCAACACCCACAGCGCACGAGCGACTCTGCCTCTTGGGTGTCTGGGCTACAATTTCACAGGGCGCCCAGGTCAGACACCTCAGATACGGCTGATCTTCAGGGAGGGCCTTGAGAGGCGGGCCTTTTAGAGAAAGCTTCTTTCGGGTTTGTGTGTTTATTTACTCCACGGAGACGGTGCCCGTCCTTGCTGCGGACGGCACTTGCCGTGGGACGGAGAGCGTGGCTGTGCCGGACGCTACGGGCAGGAAGACACACATGGAGACCGGGGCAGAGGGGCTGTGTTTGAGGCATGTCTGGTACGTCTGGGATCTGGAAAAGGAAACCTAGTGTTTGCCGATTTTCTTGGGCCTCCAAGGGACCTTCTCTTGCCTCCTGGTCTCACCCAGGCCTGGTGGCTCCCGCTGGCCAGGAGAGGGCCAGGGCAGCGCTCACCTGTCCAACACCCACGTTCTGACTGTGCGAGACCCCTGCCCCCCCGCCCCCCGCACCTGTCTGTTCCTGCCGCTTCCTCCGCTCTCCTTCGGGAAGGGCTGCATCACCCCACACTCCCCAGGAGCATCTTAAAGTTCTCGCATCCTCTAAAACCAAGTATGTTTTCTTTTGTTAGTATGTTCCCCCTCAAAGGAAGGAAGAAAGGAGTACTCCTGTCTCAGGTGCAGGTGCAGTGGCGAAGCCTTGGCGGCAGGAAGCTCGCTCTGTCCCCTGGTCCAGCGGCAGGAACGGCCCCTCCTCCCGCAACTACTGGCCACGGGAGGGTCGGAAGTGGGCAAAGGGCAGCAGGTGAGGTGGGAGGGTCGGTGGGGGGTGGGGAAACCTTGGCCACGGGGAAGAAAACCAGGAAGCTGCCGCTTGCCCTTGGAAAGGGAAGCTGTGTTTGCCAAGTGAAGTGCCAGCTTCTTCTAGGTTTTCTGACCCGTCACCTGTGCGGCGGAAGCATTAGGACCCACAAGATGGTTCAGGCATATCAGGTTATAAGAGGCAGAAACCAAAAAACTAAGAAGGAATAGTCAGCCCCGTGTCCAAAATTTGTTTAAATACACGACCCTTGAAGTGCTGTGGCCAGGAGAATTTGTTTCCACTTGTATGACAAACGTCATTTGGGAAAAGGCAACACGATAGGGACAGCCCACACATCAGTGACTCCCGGGGGGCTGAGAGGAGACCGGGGGGTTGGGAGGAGTGATCACAGAGCACAAGGGAAATTTTGGGGTTACCCACGGAGTTGCTCTCTGTGTTGATTAGGGTGGTGGTCACCTGAACATAGATGTTTGCCAAAACTCACTGAACTTCACTTTGTGTAAATTTAAAAACCATGTTCTAGGTCCTGGCCAGGTAGCTCAGCTGGTTAGAGCATCGTCCTGATACACCAAGGTTGCAGGTTCGATTCCTGGTCAGGGCACATATAAGAAGCAATCAATAAATTTCATAAATAAGCAGAACCATAAATCAACCTCTCTCTCTCTCTAAAAATCAATAAATAAATTTAAAAAGAATAAAAGAAGGTCCTTTCTAATAAAAAAATAAAAACCACGTTGTAGCCATAACAAAGGTGAAAGTTTAAGGACTTTTTGGCAAGTCCCTGAGATCAGCGGCTCCTTTCTCTCCTCCATCTCGGAAGGCAGCGCAGCGAGCGTGGCTGAGGGTGAGGCTCCCTCACTGCGGAGAACCCCGGACACACACACACGCCGGGTGTGCCGGAGGGCTGTCCTTACAGTGCAGCCCACAGCGTACCCTCTGCCTGGTGCACGGCCCAGAGCGGGCTGCAGGTATACGAAAACCTGACCCTTTTCCTTCGCTACAGGGATGAGACTTCCGTGTGTGGGATAAGACAGACCTGGTGGTGAGGTTCTGCGGGCTGGGCAAGCAGCAGCCGGGAAGGGGGAGCTCTGGGGAGTATCAGCGGGCAATGCCTGCGGATGCTGAAACGCCCAGACAAAGGTGATCTTGTGACCGGAAACAGTGGTTCCCAAACTGGGCTTCCCAGGCAAACCATCTGATTCCCAGCAGGTCTGGGGTGGGCCCAGAAAAGCCGTCTGTGTAAGGCGTTCCCCTGGTAATTCTTTGCAGCTACCTGGTGTCATCGCTGGGAACGTGGGCCAGGGGACCATCAAACCTAGAGCCGCGTGTCCTAGAGGAGGAGGAGAGGCCGCACAGGCTCAGGGTGGGAGCAGCCTCTGCTCCTGCTGGGGAGGCCGCAGCGCCTCAGGGCCAGGGGGGCTGCTCCGATGTGCGGGGCGGGGCTTTCCCCGCGGGCTGGAGCTATGCTGCCCAGGGGCTCCAGAGTGAAGGGAGGGAAGGTGAGCACAAGGCTGCTGGTCCAGCAGGGGGCTGGCCAGGCTGCCTCGTCTGGGCAGAACTAGGGAAATTCCAGCTGTCCTCCTGGGCCGGCCCCCAGGTGCTCACCTGCAGGTCTCAGGCACCTCGCTAGCACGGTTCCTGGGCCAGTGGATCAATATTTGCTGAGTGCGAGAATAAACGACTGCATCTCAGCCAGGCACCTGCACGGCTGCTACGTGAGTTCCTGACCCCCCGGAGCCAGCGTGGGAGACGTGATCGCCCTGTCCAGCCGGGGCACTCTCAGGGCTCGGGGACGCGAACTGACTCACACTGCCCGCCAGTTGGCAGGTGCAATGGACGCTTCAGCACCAGAGGAGCCCAGGTAAGCGTGGTGGGTTTCCTTCCACACTGCTGGGGCTCTGGGACAAACCCGAGTGTCTGCCTTTGCAAACATCCGAAAGGCTGACTCCCTAATGAGTGATTAAGGTTTAAGGTCCACACCAGTGACTTTTAAATGTCCCTTAAGGAACGTAGGTGTGCCTGTGTTGGTCACAGGTTCTAGGACATCCTCACTGATGGCTCCCAGTGCGGGGGGGCGGGGGGGACACTTGCCACATTTCCTTGCCTCAGGTTGTTTAAACGACTTAACCCTCGGCTGGGAAGATATCTATTAGTTTTGACTCTTTTCCTTTCATCAACCGAACAGGAAGCGTTTGACTGGAGCCAGTCAGCCCTCAGAGGCTTCCCACTGGGCAAGCTCTTCTGAAACGCAGTGGAAGCTTCCGGAACAGACCATGGCCACGATCACGTGTTAACAAAAGACAACTCTGAGAAGCACATCAGCCCGAGCGTACGGGGAGCCCCCTGCGCTGCCAACACGGGGGGTTCCGCTCTCCGTCTCTCCCTCCCTCCCCAGCCCCCTCGATGAGCCCAGAGCCCACTGCACTGCACCTCATTCCGTCAATGCCACCATCGTGTTCGGGACTGACATGAAGCCACTGTTTTCTCTTAAAATTATGTTTCTAGTCAGAGTTCATGACATCCTCACCGAAGTCTGTGAAAAAATACGGAACGAATCCAAGACACTCCTGACACTGGATGCCAACCCAATACGAGGGTTCTCTCAGGCCGCGGAGAATGCATCAAGGACTCTGGTCCCGCAGTGACAGGCAGACATTCAAACCAAACCACTTAACCGTGCCTGCGTGCGCAGACGTGCGTGCAGGGAGACGGTGCCCGAGGAAATCCCTGGGACCGCGGGAGGGAGCTGGGCGGCCGCCCTCCCGGGCCTCAGTCTGGGGGGGAATGCGGGAGGGACCGTGGACTTTCAAGGGAAGAGGAGCTGAGAACCCATTTCCTAAAGTCATGGGAAAAAAGGTAAAATAATGAAGGAATTTAGAGACTACCATAGTTGAACGTGTCCAAAAGCTATGGTCATGTTAAGCAAATAAAAACCTATACAGCTCAGCACACGCTGTCTAAACACAAACCCGAGTCTCGGAGGGCAAGAGGGGGCCCGTTTGATGGGTGAGAAGACAGTGTCGGTCTTCTGCCTCCTTCTGGGGGGCTGCGAGCTTGGGGGGAGCAGGTTCCAGGCCGACACCAGCCAGCCTTCCCGATTCTGTTCCTGGGGGGCTGCTCGTGTGTGCCTGATCTTCTGTCTCTCGATATGGAATTATAAGCTAGGGCTACATTCTGCCCTGGCTGGTGTGGCTCGGTGGGTTGGGCACCAGCCTGTGAACCGACAGGTCGCCGGTTCGATTCCCAGGCAGGGCGCATGCCAAGGTTCCGGGCCAGGTCCCCAGCTGGGGGCGTGCGAGAGGCAGCTGACTGATGCTTCCCTCGAGCATCTGTGTTTCTCTCCCTTCCCCTTTAAAAAATAAAGAAAATAAAAAATAAGCTAGGGGTGTACTGACACAATTGGTCTGGCTCTGACCCGGCGTCTGGGAGTTTGCTTGTCTTGGTGGGACAGGTGACTTGGAGACACAGCGCCAGATCCCCCACCCCCCGGGACTCCTAGAGGCAGGAGGTCCTGTTCAGTGGCCGGCGCCCTGGGTTCCATTGTCTTGTCCCTTTACTGAAGCGCGGGCATGAGACAGGGGCCTCGGGGGATCGGGGAGGGTGGCCTTCCCTTTCCTCTGGCATCACCTCTGAGCCCCAGGGGCCCATTCCTCCTCGGAGGCTCTCACGGGCTTTGCTGAGTCTAGCTGCCGAGTTAATTACATTTTCCCTGGGTTGGCAGAATACAAGCCAGCTTAGTCATGCTTCTGTTCCCTCCAGACCCGGTGCAGACTCCGCGGCCCGGCGCCGGGGCTGCTGGTGCCTCCCCCTCCCTGTCCTGGGGTGGGTCCACCTCCAAGGCAGAGAGTCTGGGACAAAGGGCCGCCTGCACCTGCTGGCCCGGGGTAGGGGTAGCGTCTCAGTGTCAACAAAGGAGCGTCTCCTCGGCTGTGACTGCAGGAGCTCCCTGGTTCCCCGTCTCCCAAAGCCTCCCCGACAGCTGCTGGGGTCCTGGGGCAGTGCCTGTGTGGCCAGTGCTCCCCTCTGCACACAGAGCTCCTGCCAGCCACTTCCTCCTTGAACACCAAGGCGGTGATGGCCCTGCAGGGGGGCGGGGAAGGGGCACTGCCCTGGGGCTGGGGGCTGGCACGGAGTGACTGGGCCTGTGTGTCCCCTGGGCACGGCCAAGCAGTGGTGCAGCCCGTGGTCCCCTCGGCAGCAGCTGGGGTTCCCAGCGCAGCTACAGAGCAGTGGGCCCCCCCTGCAGGCCCTCTCTGGCCTGGGACGTGGGGGAGGGTTCCCCTCATCCCTGGCTTGCCTTTCCAGGGGTCTGCACTGTGGGTCTGTTCCCTACAGAGGTCTGCGCTATGACCCGCCGTTCCTCTGCCAACTTTTCTGCAGCCAGCACGTGCTTGCAGCCCCTCTCCCGAGGACTCGGGTCTCAGGCCTCTTGACTGACAGCCACCACGCTGCACGGAGAACCCGAGTGGCCCTCGGCCCCGAGAACTGGCTGTGCTTCTTATCTTTCCTCTCCTCCTTTGCAGGAGCACTTTCCCAAGAGACCCAGAGGTGCCGCAGGGAAACAGACCCCTCGAACCCACCACTTCCTCTCCACACACACGGCGAATTCCAGGTCAGGAGCAACTGGGGTCAGACTGGGATCTCTGCTGGGTGAGAGTGAAGGTCACGGTCACGTGCCCGTCATTCACTGAGGTGGGCATTGCGTGCACTTTCTGAACACTGGGTCGTTTTGAGGGTCCCTGGTCCCGTAATTGTGAACGTCATGCAGATGCTGGCAGACCCCCGTCATGCTGAGGAGGGTGACCGGGAGGGCGGCCCTCTTTCCAGGGTGTGTCCTTCATCCGTATCTGATGGACGGAGAGCGAGAAAACACGCCGGCGTGGAGCACAGTGGGCCTCCAGGAGCCCGAGGGCCTGCAGGGGGCGCCGGCTCTGGCTGCGTGGGGGGCCTTTTCGGTTGGGGCCGAGGGCTGGACCCCCTCCCTCCTCAACAGGAGTCGGCTTCCCTCAGTCTGTGAGCTTGGTGACATCACGGGCTGAATTCCCGGAATTCAGGGTGAGTTCACCCAGGTAGGCGATGCCACGGGCGGTTTGTGACAGGGAACCTGCCACCCTTTCCACAGAGAAAGTCTGAGCTCACCTCACACCCGCTGTTCAAATTTCCACAGCAGGAAAAGTCACCCACTGTCCCTTACAACTGTCCCCTCCCGGTCACTTCACCTCACCGGAGAGAGGGCGTGACGGCCTGACCTCCAACCTCCCGTGACCTACCTGGGTCAAGTGCAGCAGCACCGACTGTGTGCCCGGAATGCAGCACACACCTGCTAACTGTGACCACTCACACGCACATGCACACACACACAGGTGTGCACAAAACACTGGCCTACAGCAGAGGCCCTTGGGGCCCGGAGCCGGGACTGGACTCCGATCGGACGCTGGCTCTGCCTGCTGCGCGGCCCGCCCGCCAAGGAGCCTCTCTGGGGCGCGGGTGAGGACTCTGGGTCCCAGGCGGCCCGGGCTCTGGCGCGCTCACGGAACTTGACCTTGGAGGGGGACTGAACAGCCCTTCTCTTTAGGTTGCCCGAAGCTTCTCTTCCAGATCTGGGCGGACTGCTCTCTGGCCGCACCTGCTCTTCCAAACCAAGGTGTCCCCGGAGAGAGCTGCCACCCACAGAGACGCGTGCAAAGAATACTGAGCACCCTGGCTGGCGTAGCTCAGTGGATGGAGCGTGGGCTGCAAACCAAAGTGTCGCAGGTTCGATTCCCAGTCAGGGCACATGCCTGGGTTGCAGGCCACGGCCCCCAGCAGCCGCACATGCATGTTTCTCTCTCTTTCTCCTTCCCTTCTCTCTCTAAAAATAAATAAATAAAATCTTAAAAAAAAAGAATACTGAGCACCCGCAGACGCATGGAGATGAAAGGTTCAGGGCGTCCCGTCCATGTGACGGAACATCATAT